ACCAAGCGTTTTTGCATAATTTGTGGTGCAGTTTGGAAAGAACCTTCTTGCTTTCTGGGAAACAAACGGGTGCTGGTGTCAAGTGAATTTTTTGTGTGTGTGCTGCAGTGGCTAATTTGTCAGCAATTTCGTTTCCTGTCACTTCTACGTGACTTGGAAGCCACTGAAAACATATCTCGTGGCCGACCAGATGAGCGATGATTGTTTTTAAAATTTCTTATATTATGCTATCATCTATAACTCTACGCACGAAGCGGAACTTAAGGAAACGATCTCAAACATGAAGAAAAACAACACAGCTCGTGAACTGATTGAAGCTTTCTATAGAGGTGGCAGAGATTGTATAAGCACCCCCTCGATCACTACTTAGTATAAAACTGAATGTGTCTTTTTACATGATTTATGCACTAAAAACAGGTTGCAATCACCCATCTTCTTTTTTTCAGTTTTCGGTGCGCATGTGGGGTAACTCCTTTGTGGCTTTTGCTCCCTCTGTCTCCTATATATTTCATCGACGAAGATCTGAATAAGACCATTGCAAGTTTGCGCAGATGCCTATCTCGCTAATAAAAGGAATGCTGATATTCGGCTAGCATGTACTTATCGGCAATCACTAGCGTGAGCGTGCATGCAACATAAAACATGCAAAGTTTATTTAGTGGTCGGCGCTAAAAACGTATCAGAAGGAAAGAAAGCTTCATATATGAGCATATTACAATAAATATATAGGTCAGTGTTTAAGTGAACGTTTATTCACGGTGTGTTCATCCGCGTGTATAGAAAGGCGAGTTGGCGTACCTTCTACCGATTTTCTGTCGTTCAGTATGCGTATTGTCCAAACGGGAGTCTGTACAAATAAAGGACCGAGGGCGAATAGTCAGTGACTCTTGAGTTGCTGTGGCACGCCGGTTTTCACTAATGTTCACGCACTTACGAATAGGGTTATATGTCCTCCTCTGAACTTCTAAACAAGCACGTTAGTTGCCTGACACTGTTTTAGGCGGAATAACGCGGTAAGTGGACGAACAGGACCTAAACATTCTGCGTGTTATTTTGCGAAGTTGTGAGCACCAACATTCCCGGAATCAGTGGTGTGGCGGGCCAGCTTGGTTCGTCTGCCACAAGTGAATGGCAGTTCCATACTTACCAATAGAGATCAGACATTTTTTTAAATAAAAAAAAATGCGTTTTATGCGCCAAAAATTGGCAGACAAAACGCGCTTCGGGCCTTGAACGTCGTAAATGCAGGCTCAATAAATTGTTACATCAAATGCAAATAATATCAAAACAAAGACGTGCACGACCAGTATATCTAATAAAACAAAGCGAAAGTTTGAAGGACACCTAAGTTTCACTTTAAAGAGTAAAGTGTGTGCAGTCGGGCCTCGTTCGCATCCCTTTTTCAAGCTCTATAGCCCGGCTTTGATGCTCGGTAGGCAAGAAACAGAATGTTTGTGCGTGTAATATTACCCGTCTCAAAATATTGCAGAATGCTCACTGCAAGTATAGTTGCAAAGTGCCCACTATATATACGTGTCCGTAAGGCGCAGCTGCGCATCTTTCAACCACCTGCTCATTGCGTGATTCACATATTGTTTGGATGTATGGCGTGGTTCTACGATTTCGCCACGGTGCTTTAAGGGGACTCTTACCACTACATGTCATTATTATAGGGTTTTTCTACAAAGCAGTAGCAAGCACTGGTGTGGCTTTGCGGGAGAACACCTTCTTGCCACGCAGTTAAAGCTTGGGTATGATCCTCGGTCGTACCAAAGATCTTTCTTATTCATTTAATTGCATCATTTTAAATTTTTGCTCTCAGACAACGCCGATTTTCCTCGGCGCCGCCACCGACGCTGACACCTGAATTTTTGCGAAACGAGCTCTTTGACGCTATAGTGTAAGAAAAAAAACTTACATGGTTTAAGATTGAACAAATACGCCAACAGTTGCACATACATATAGGAAGCGTCAAAGCAGTGAAGAGGAAACTTGGGATAGGCAAAAGTCGGATGTATGCACTAAGGGACAAAGAAGGCAAAATAACTACCAATATGGATAGGATAGTTAAAATAGTGGAGGAGTTTTACAGAGATCTGTACAGTAGCGGAGACAACCACGACCTTAATACTATAAGAACTAGCAGTAACCCAGATGACACCCCATCAGTAATGATAGAAGAAGTCAGAAAAGCTTTGGAGAGCATGCAAAGAGGCAAAGCTGTTGGTGAGGATCAGGTAACATCAGATCTGCTGAAAGATGGAGGACAGATTGTGTTAGAAAAACTAGCCACCCTGTTTACGAGGTGTCTCCTGACGAGAAGAGTACCAGAGTCTTGGAAGAACGCTATCATCATCTTAATACATAAGAAAGGAGATGACAAAGACTTGAAGAATTACAGACCGATCAGCTTGCTCTCTGTCGTATACAAGCTATTTACAAAGGTAATTGCTAACAGAGTAAAGAAAACATTAGAATTCAATCAACTAAAGGAACAAGCAGGATTTCGAACAGGCTACTCAACAATTGACCACATTCATACTATCAATCAGGTAATAGAGAAATGCTCAGAGTATAACCAACCACTATACATAGCCTTCGTAGATTACGAGAAGGCGTTTGATTAAGTATAAATATCAGCCGTCATGCAGACACTGCGGAATCAGGGCGTAGATGAAGTATATATAAACATTCTGGAAGAAATCTACAGGGGATCAACTGCTACCATAGTGCTTCATAAAGAAAGCAACAGAATACCAATCAAGAAGGGTGTAAGGCAGGGGGACACAATCTCCCCAATGCTATTCACCGCTTGGTTACAGGAGGTTTTCAGAAGCCTAGAATGGGAGCAGTTAGGGATAAGAGTTCATGGAGAATACCTTAGTAACCTGCGCTTCGCCGATGACATTGCATTGCTGAGTAACTCAGGGGACGAATTGCAACTCATGATTACAGAGTTGAACAGGGAGAGCAGAAAGGTGGGTCTTAAAATTAATCTGCAGAAAACGAAAGTAATGTACAACAACCTCGGAAAGGAGCAGCGCTTCGAGATAGGAAATAGTGCACTTGAAGTTGTAAAAGACTATGTCTACTTAGGGCAGGTAATAACCGCAGAGCCGAACCACGAGATTGAAGTAACTAGAAAAATAAGAATGGGGTGGAGCACATTCGGCAAGCACTCTGAAATTATGACAGGTAGATTGCCAATATCCCTCAAGAGAAAGGTATATAACAGCTGTATCTTGCCACTACTTAGCTACGGAGCAGAAACCTGGAGACTTACAAAGAGGGTTCAGCTTAAATTGAGGACGACGCAGCGAGCAATGGAAAGAAAAATGGTAGGTGTAACCTTAAAAGACAAGAAGAGAGCAGAGTGGATTAGGGGACAAACGGGGCTTAAGGATATCATAGTTGAAATCAAGAAGAAGAAATGGACATGGGCCGGGCATGTAGCGCGTAGACAGGATAACCGCTGGTCGTTAAGGGTAACTAACTGGATTCCCTGAGAAGGCAAGCGGGTTAGGGGGAGACAGAAGGTTAGGTGGGCAGATGAGATTAAGAAGTTTGCGGGTATAAATTGGCAGCAGCAAGCACAGGACCGGGTTAACTGGCGGAACATGGGAGAGGCCTTTGTCCTGCAGTGGACGTAGTCAGGCTGATGATGATGATGATGATAGCAGTGCAATTGTGCCTTTTCACGCCCGGCTCGTAAAATAAGGTCTCTGCATTTATTCTGTAGCATGGTCAGTCAAGTGCCCCAACTGTCGAACCAACACACTCCTGAGTTAATTTTTGGCATGGCTGAGAAAGGCAGCTATAGCAGATAGCCATTCCGCTAAAAGACAAGACGGGAGGAATGCCTCGTATACGCCGGTTCTAATCGCGAGTTGAGTAAATTCCTTTCCATGACAGTGGACATCTTAAGACACATTTAATATATATATATATATATATATATATATATATATATATATATATATATATATATATATATATATATATATATATATATATATATTGCTCTCCATGGTTTCACCAACCACTCGGGCCATGTCATCATGGCAGCGCTGGCTGGAGTTCTGGAAGTTAATTGTTTGAACTAGGTTGAGCCGCATAGAGTTCCGAATAGTCGATGCATGTATGGCCATCTAAAACTGCTCTCGATAGCGTTCGTATATAGGCGCCGATTTTGAAAATTGGTATTTATAAGCACTTATATGCATTTTGGAACAAACGCCAATAATAGGCCTTTATAGGTACTATGAAACCACTATAAATGCCCTCTTTCGCTCTAATTCGTGCTCACATATCAAGATGGGGCGATCGCAAGGAACAAAATAAGCACTTGCCTGAAATCCTGCTTCTCCTGATCATCATCCTTACAATCGGCGAGCATTAGTCTACGCGCCTTCTTGGACGCTGTCTCATGGGGTCACCACGTTTTGCCTAACAGGCACATGACTGCAATGGTGCACACTCCTGTGCAGTGTAAGATCACATGAAAATTGTCTAACCACGAAGTGAATGCTTCGTTCGTTTTTTATTCCAACATGTGATTAGATTAGATTTGTGGGGTTTAACGTTTCAAAACCACCATATGATTATGAGTGACGCCGTAGTGGAGGGCTCCGGAAATTTCGACCACCTGGGATTCTTTAACGTGCACCCAAATATTCCAACATGAGGGGTGGGTGTTTGCCTCGATTGTTTTCTTGGCGTGTGATAGCTGGGCATACATATTTACCCTTCGCATTCTGCTCCAATTCCGTTTCATCTTTTTTTTTTGTTTTCATCGTTCGCGTTGACCCTAATGCACGAATCAACTGTAACCTTACAAATCTTCTATTTTTTTAAGCTAACGAGTTTTGAAATTCAGACACCACTACAACAAAAGCTTGCATTCGTTGTACAAGGCACTGAGAACGGTAAACAACACGCGAGATAGTGCTTATATATTTCGCACGCCGGATGTCATAACGGAACAGATGTAGGATACGTACGGCAGGGAACCGTTCCGCACAGCTGAAGGAATTGCGTGTTGTTGCGGCGTGCTGTTGAATGTTTGTGCACACGTGGGTCCCGCTGGCTGTGCAAGTGGGATATTGTTTATCTGCGGGGCAGAGATCTAATGTTCTCCCGAGCCGCCAGAACCGGTCGCTGTCTGCGGCGGCCTGCGATGTCCTTGTGTCCGCGCGTTGTGCGCAAGGCCAACGCTGTCGTGCGCGAGCTGCTCGAATCCGCCGCTGAAAGCCTCGCATCGCAGTAGGTGAAAGAGGCGAAGCGTGGAGGCGTGGCAGGCAGCTAACGTTGCGTAACGCCGAAGCGAGCGCATGGTCTTCGGCAAAGTTGGGTCACGGACTGCCAACCGCCGATAGCGGCGTTTCCGATGGTCCTCCTTTCCAGGTTCTTCTCGCTGAAGTCTCGAAGAGGTCTCCGGGGAAAGCTGGTGCAGTCGACTCCCTTTCTCTCGGTGAGAAGGTTTATCGGTTAACAATGTCGAAAACCAACTGCAGTCGTTTTCGCCGCACGACATCATTGGTATAGCTGTGGCTTTGTAGAGGAGAAGGAAAATTATGTCATAAATGTAGAAGGTTTGTTCGAAGACTGTCACTATTTTATAAGCATCAGCTGTGGTGAATAGCAGGATTCTATATTAGGTCAGATTATTAAAAAAAGACAATTCCAATATTTTAAATACTTACAAAATTTGACGAGCCGATGATCCACTATGCACGAACAACGCCAACGTAATGGCACGGGACGAACAAGGAAGGCACGCGACTCTAAATTATTTATTTCCTGCGTTCACCTCGTATAAATATGCACACAAAACATCACCAAGAAGGATAAACAGAAATGTAAATCATTGGCAATATCCATTGGTACAACTCAGCCTTTTGCTGATTTCCAACGATCAATATCGTGGTTTGAGGCAAAAAAAACCAGCACGTAATAAAGAAATCAAACTTGATTTGCTTGATAGTCCACCATGGGGCTGTAGCGATTACGGCGCTCGACTGCTGGTGTGGTCGCGTCATGAATTCAGTCCGTGCCGCAGCGTTCACATTTCAATGCAAGCGAAATTCTAGAGGTCCGTCTACTGCTTGTAATCATATTCCGGTTTTGGGACCTAAAACCCCACATATTATTTTTAACAGCAATATTCTTTGCTTCATGACCCCAGCGGTGTCATGCTCACACATTTGTTCACCGCACGTGCAATGCTTATATCGTCGATAATTTTCCTAATCAGCGTGTGACAATTGCTAATTTCACTATGCCCATACAAGGGCTGACACGGAATAATCCCGTGGCCCAGATGGCGTTCCACATTGTCGGCATTGCATGTTTAAGTGTCTCATTTTGCTTTCACTAGCACTGTAGTACAGTGTTACCTTAACCTGCTATTGGCACATCTGCCTGTCTGCCTGATATGTTTCAATGAAGTGAAATTGTCAGTCGTCGCAAAAACAAGCAAGTTGTGGACATTATCAAGGCTATGAGCATTGCGCGTGTGGTAAACAAATGTGTGTGTGGCATCACTGACGTTATCAAGCAACTTGCGTTTCGGAAAGTTGGGGAATCGTCAAAAGGCTGAGTTGTATAAATTGATATGTGTGTGTTCTTCGTCCCTTGCCGTTAAGTTCCCGTTCTTCTTACTGTTTCAAAGTGTATACAATCTGAAATTTTACCTCATTTCCTAATTGCCGCTTTATGGATGCCTATTCTTAACAGAGAGAAAGAAACAGAAAGCTATAAGAGGAAAAGCAGAGAGGTTAACCATTTATTCGTTGCGAGTTTGGGATAGCTAACGCTGTGGTTAAGAACTGTAGTGACCGCTGTCGTTGTGTGTATTATAATAAATAAATAAATAAATAAATAAATATAACAGTAAGTCGGAGCACGACAGCAAATTCCGTACTGAACGCAAGCGATTACCCTGTTGCCCATAGTTCGACGTCTTCGCTTCGCAATCTTCTAATTGTAGCTGAAGAGTCCACGAGATAGATTCACTTTGAGCGAATTCAAGATGACATCAATTTCGACACATTAATTACCGAAATTGGTTACGAAATACTTCGTTCATTTACTTTTATTGTAGAAAACACATTTTTTATTTTAAAGCGAGGCGACAGTGTAGTTTCATCGTCCGCCGCGGTGGTACAGCGGTTACCGGAAGGTCACGGGTTCGATTCCAGCCACGGTGGTCCCATTTCACTGAAGGCGAATTGGGAGAGGCCGGTGTTCTGTGCGATGTCCGCGCACGTTACATCACGAAAACAAAACAGCCCAAAAGACGGAGCACGAGAAAAATTAGGACACTGCAACATAGGCGTCTACGCAAGCGTTGGAGTCAAATGACACGCGAACAACGCTGTTCCGTTGTTCGCGGAACAGCGTTGACAACGTTGAAAAGCGAATGACAGCAACCTGCCAGTAGCCGGAACATATGTATATTGAAGTATCGGGCGCCGTGGAGACAATCGAGAGCGTCATCGATGCGGGGTAAAGGGTAAACGTCCTTTTTTGTGATTCTATTCAGATGGCGGTAATCCACGCAGAAGCGCCACGTGTCATCTTTCTTTTTAACGAGCACAAAGGGGGACGCCCAAGGGTTCGAAGAGGGTTCAATAATTCCTTTGGCTAACATCTTGGTGACTTCTTGTTGAATTACTTAACGCTCGGTGGCAGACACCGAGTATGGTCGCCGATTAATGGAATAAGAATCACCTGTGGTAATGCGGTGCTTGACGAGTGAAGTCTGGCCGAATGAACGGCTGTCGATGTCGAATATGTCACGGTATATGAAGCAAGAAGGCGGCATAGCGCGGCTGAGTTTTCAGGTTTGAGGTCCGGGTCGATCATGGAGCATAAGGTCGCACCGAGGCACGGGGCATCCTGCGAGTGACGTGGGTGATCGGGACATAAGTCTGCCGCAAAACAGGTGACGTGGTTGTCAATTAAGGGTTTTAGCGTGGCAACCGAAATTCCTTGAGGTAGCACTTGTTTAATGAATCTGAAATAGATAACAGGTGAATATGTTCGGTTGGAGGCCACGCTTACGACAGAGTGTGGGACAGTAATGTCACGCGCTAGGAGAACATCAGGAATCGGCGTCACGATATAATCACCGTCGAGCACGGGAGAGGGTGTTGCCAATTCGATGAATCTGAGAGCTTTAGGCGGTATCCGGAAAAAGTCAGTGGTGCACAAGCTGTTCGGGAGTTCATGGAATCTGGGAGAAGAGGAAGTTCTAGGCAGAGAGTACCGGTGGCACAATCGATCAGGGCAGAATGCGTCGATAGGAAGTCCATGCCGAAGATTAGGTCGTGAGGGCAATATTCAAGCACCGTAAATAAAACGGGGACATGGCGGCCGGCAATACTAACACTAGCGGTACACATTCCAGTGATGGCCACAGTTCCATCATCAGCGGCACGGAGGGCTTTAGTTGCTGCAGGCGTGAGAACTTTTTTGAGTAGGCGACACAGATGAGCACTCATTATGGACACTTGAGCTCCAGTCGTCAAAGAAACTAACGCCGTCAAAGAAATACTGTCCAAAAACACCTCAATCAAGTTCGTTTCAGCGGGGAGCGTCAACGGAGGATTCGGATCAGTCGCAATTGATGCAGCACTACCTCCCGGAGCTGCATGATCTAGTTTTCCGTTCGAGAGGATCCATAGTTGACCGGCGATGGATAGCGGCGTGGTTGGGGCGATGGGGAACGGCGGCGTTGAGGTGACGGTGAACGAGCGGCGGAGCGGCTGTTAGGGACGTCGGAAGAAGGGTACACACGACTAGTCGAATACCGACGGGAGTCCTCGTATGGGCGAGAAGAGGAAAATAGGCTCCAGCTTGAGGGCATCCAAGTGCTGCGGCAGCGGTGGGAGATATGGCCAACTCAGTGGGTGCGGAAGCAGATCGGTTTGTCGTCTGCAGTTCTCCATTCCGTCGGATTGCGGGATCGCGGAAGAAAATGTGAGTCATGACATGGTGCATTTATTGCAGAGCAGGCCACAGGAAAACCGAGCTTTGCAATTTTCTGCCTCACGACGGCTTGAACCGCCGGAGGTGTTTGTGTGGCACCATGGTCGAGTGGAAGTGGAGGAAACGGTAGCGGACTTGACGCCTCAAGCTCCCGTTGAACTATACGTGTCACGCTGTCCTGCATGGGTGGTGGGCACCGAGATCGGTGCAGGTTGATGTAACAGCCGTGTTTAGTAGCCGCGTAAATTGAGGCAGAACACGGCGCCTTTTGGCCATTTCGAAGCGGCGGCGTTCCTTAATAATCATATCTACGGTCGTGACGTTGGTGTACACTAGCAGTTGAAGGCGTCGTCCGCGATGCGCTTGAGTATGTGGCCCACCTTGTCACTCTCTGTCATTTGCTCGTCCACTTTCCGGCACAACGGGAACACGTCCTGTGTGTGCGAGACATACGATTCAGTTGAGGACTGCACACGAGTGGCGAGTTCTTTTCGCGCTTCCATTCGGTGACCGCATGGGTCCCCAAAGAGGTCGGGTAGTAGTCGCTCCTTGATGATATCCCAGCTGGTGAGCTCGGTCTCAAGGGTGTCGAACCAAATACGCGGGGTGCCATCCATGTAAAATATTACGTTGGCGAGCATCATGGTATGGTCCCATCGGTGTGTCTGGCTAACACACATACGGAGCCAGTAGTCAACGTCAAGCCCAGGTTGTGCGGAGAATGTACCGGGATCACGGGGGTAGGGCATCGTCAGGTATGTAGTGGCTGGAGCTGCAGATGGAGACGCTGACGGGTTGTTGTCATTGGAAGCCATGGCCGGAGGCTTGACGGTGCGGCCACTGCGACGCTTCGTGGTGAGGACGGGGAACGTTCCACCTCCACCAAATATGTTACGGAAAAAAAGAGACGCCGTATCGACGAGGCTGTGGATTAGATGCATTTAAAACCAGCGGTAATGGCGTGACCGGTTCACCAGCGATCGAGCGGAGACAACCCTTCGTCTTCCTCGTAAGGCACACACGCGCATCGCCCCCTAAAATATTTATATGCACGCATGTAGCAATATCAAAAGCGTATATATTTTGGAAGATATTTAAATTAATTTTGAAGTTTG